TTCCTTAGAGGTTTTTAAGGTCAGGCTTGACAAAGCCCTGGCTGGGATGATTTAGTTGGGGATTGGTCCTGCTTTGAGCAGGGGGTTGGACTAGATGACCTCCTGAGGTCCCTTCCAACCCTGATATTCTATGATTCTATGATTCATTGCGGAATGCTGCTTGGGGGCCAAAATGGTTCCTGCAGTCCATCTTTGACATTGCAGACACTGTGGCCAGGGTCATGGCCTCGGCAGTAACTATGAAGGAAGCTTCCTGGTTGCAAAACTCTGGGATCACTCTGGACATCCAGCAAGCCATTGAGGACTTGCCCTTTGATGGCTAAGTCTTGTTCTCGGACAAGACTAAAGGCACTTTCCACTCCTTCAAGGATTCCAGGGCTATCTTCCAGTCCTTGGAAGTGTACATGCTGTCCACGCAAAGGCGCCACAATGGTGCGCAGCAGGAGCAACAATATCACCCGCAGCATTCCTTTGTGCAGCCTTTCCCCCTGAAACAGCAGGACTACTCTAGAAAGAGGAACGGCTCCACAATAGGAAGCAGTCGGGCTTGGGCTTCAGACAGTCCACATGATCTCCATCAGCACAGGCTAAGCACCCATTTTGTGTCCTTTGTCCTGAGCAGTGGTCCAGTCATTACTCCATCCCTTCGGTCCCCCCCATCCCTTTGGGGACAGGTTGGCCCACTTTTACAATGCTTGGATCTCGATTACCTCTGACAGCTAGGTTCTAGACACTGTCAGATCTGGCTACGCAGTCCAGTTCCTCTCCACGCCCCCTTCCCATCCCACTTCTCCATCCCTCTTCTCCATCCCTCTATAGAGACCCCTCTCACGAGATACTGCTGATTGAGCTGTATTTGTAGTTGGGAGCACTGGAACACTGGGGTCACAGCTTTTCTCCTGGTGCTTGTTGATACTGAAATATAAGGGCAGGATGAGAACCATTCTCAACCTTTGCAGCCTCTACAGATTCATCAAGTCATGAGATCCCGCATGGTCACTCTATTGGCTATCCTTCCTGTCCTGTGTCAGAATGACTGGTTCACTGCTCTGGACCTGCAGGATGCTTACTTTCATGTGGTGATTCTGCTGAGCCACAAGAAGTTTCTGCGTTTCGTGGTAAGAGAACGGCACGTTCAGTATACAGTTCTCCCCTCTTCTGCCCCCCACGTCTTCACCAAATGCATGGCAGTGGTTATGGCATATCTCAGGAAGAAGGGACTCCACATCTTCCTCTACCTTAATGACTGGTTGCCGAAGAGCAGCTCTAGAGGGGCGGTTCTCACCCACATTGACACCATGTTGAGTTTGCTCGACTGTTGGCACTCGTTTTAAACACCGCAAAGTCAACCTTGGCTCCCACTCAAAAAATCAAGTTCCTTGGGGCCCTGTTAGATTCCAGGAGGTCGAAGGTGTTACTACCTACCGACTGCTTCCAGGCAATTCAGCAGTTTTGCCTCAGTCTGCAATCTCAGCCTTCCATGACAGTGCATGTGTATCTGAACCTGTTGTGCCTAATGTCTGTTTGCACACAGGTGGTCCAGTTCACTAGGTTGTACCCTCACCCACTTCAGATGCAGCTCAGGACAGTTTACTGCCCTGCCCTGCATTCTCTGGACAGGTCAGTTCGCCTTCTTCCAGCAGTCCTGGATTCCTTGTGCTGGTGGGAGTTCCCACGCATTGCGTGCCAAGGGATACCCTTTGTTTGGCCCTCTCCAACTAAGTCAGTGGTTACTAGCACTTCCCTTGTGGGTGGGTGGGAGGGGAGTGCATCTGGACTCATTACAGGGCCTGTGGTTGGAACAGGAAGCCTTACTCCATATCAGTGTGTTGGAACTTCCGGCCATCCACAATGCATGTTGTGCCTTCCGAGACCACATCACATACTCACCAACAATGCTACTGTGATGTACTACGTGAAGAAGCAAAGGGAGACAAGGGCGGCACATTCCAGGTTACTCTGCCTGGAGGTGATCAATCCGTGGCACTTTTGCATTGAGGGAGACATCACCCTGGTAGCATTCCATTTTCCAGGGGTTCAAAATCATCTCGTGGACTCGCAGTAGGGTTTTCTCCCTGAGTCATGAATGGTCCCTGAAGGAGAGTGTTTGCCAAGTCATCTTTGCAACATGGGATGTCCCTGCAATGAACCTATTTGTGACGAGGGAAAACCCAAAGTGTCAACTGTTCTGCTCTCGAGGGCCTCAGTCCTCTCTGACACCTTCCACTGCAGCTGGCGGTCAACTCTTCTGTACTCCTTTCCATGTATTTCGGTCATTCCTCAAGGTCATCCTCAAGCTCAAAGTGGATCAGGCCAAGCTCATTCTTGTTGCTCCAGCATGGATGAAGCAGTGTTGGTTCTCAGATATCCTTGCTCTGTCAATTCAACTTCCCATATCGTTTCCTCTCCATCCCGACCTGGTCAGTCAGAACCACGGCCAAACCCTCCATCGTGCGATCAGCTCCCAGCAGTGCTTGGAGGCTGTCCAACAAGTTCTACTTAACAAAGCAATTTAATCCAGTATTCTGAAATCTCTGAATATTAGACTTTGGTTTTATGGTGTTAAGTTATATATTTGCATGAGAGAGGGAAGTAAGAAAGGTATCTGTTAGTTTCAAGATATAATTAGCTGAGCATTCTTTTACTTTTGATACCCGCTTTTAGAAATATGCAACTCTATTTATTGGATAATTTCAGATACTCATAAAATATTTTGATTAAAAAACTTCATAGTGTCTAATTTAAGATGTGATCACTGGATGGACACATTTGTTTAAGTTTCTTCTGGCTAAGATACATAATGTATATAAAAAATTGTTTGAAGCCCCTTTTTTTTACTCTGTGTTTCTACCATACATAGCACAATGGAATCCTGATGTTGTTTGGCTCTGAGGTCTTACTATAACACAGATAACCATGATAGTAATCCTAGTAACTTTCCAACAAGCTCCACTAACTTCAGAGGCATGTTATGTCCTCTTTAGCCTTTAAATAAAACTGTAAATATGTCCCTAAGGGTGCATTATAATATAAAACCAGCAGTTTATCCTTTTTCCCATTTAAAAAGTAATTACGCACTTTATAAGAGCAAATAGCCTTGTCATATAGCTTGGGACAGTATGTTATTAGGCAATGGGATTCTTAGTTTTTTTTTTAAACGAAATTTTAAATGGGATGACAATGCAGTTGATGAGGTCTGATCCTTATGATCACAACTTTTCCAGTTAAATCCATAGAATTGTAGCATGTGCTGACAGCAAATATTTTATCTCATATTTTTGGTTTGCTTTTTCCCCCCAGGTTGATGAGAAAACCGTGGGAGAGCCTGGTTGGCTATATGGGAGCTTTCAAGGTCATTTTGGCTGGTTTCCATGCAACTATGTAGAAAAAATATCAGAAAGTGAAAAAGCTTTATCTCCTAAAAGGGCCTTACTTCCTCCTACAGTATTTTTGTCTACTACCTCAGCTCCTCCAGAGTAAGTTTATTTATTGACGATTCTAATTTTGGATAAAATACAATATGTTATGTAATAGCATTATGGATTACTGTAAATTAAATGCAGAAAATTTATTATAGTGACTATATGAGGAAGACCTATAATACAGCGAGTTAAACTTTGATCTTCTGAGTTGCACTGGGCAGCACATGCATTTTGCATATGTAAGAAGTAGTAGGTCTTGCTAATGTACTTTCTAAGAAAAATTGTGCTTGTGCTAAATTTGCAGACCACTTTCACCAAGTAGATCATCTGAAGACACTGATTACCAAAACGTACCTTTCTCAAGCCTAACTGTTAACACAACATGGCAGAAAAAATCCGCTTTTACTCGTACTGTGTCCCCAGGATCTGTTTCTCCTGTTCATGGACAGGTATGTTGGTGAGAATTTTATGTATTTTAAGTTCATGTTAACAATACTGAAATACTTTTGTATAGATGAGTTACACTTTTTCTAACAATTCACTGCAGTGATCTAGACCAGGGGTGGGCAAACTGCGGCCCTGCCTGCGAGCTGGTTTAAGCCAGCCCATGAGCTCCCGTGGGGAGCTGGGTCGGGGCCGCACCATGCGTTTCAGCCTTGCTCCGGCACTCCAACCGGGGCGCCAGGTCAGGGGCCACACCACGCAGCTCCCAGAAGCCGCACCATGGCCTCACTCTGAGGGCCTACGAGCCAGAGAAGGGACATGGCACTGCTTCTGGAAGCCACTTGAGGTAAGTGCCACTCGGAGCCTGCACCCCTGAGCTTCTCCCCATGCCCCAGTCGCCTGCCCCAGCTCTGATCCCCCTCATGGTCTCCAAACCCCTCAATCCCAGCCCGGAGCACCCTCCTGCACCTCAAACCTCTCATCGCCACTCCAGAGCCTGCACCCCCAATCAGAGCCCTCACCCCCTCCTACACCCCAACCCCAATTTTGTGAGCATTCATGGCCTGCCATACAATTTCTATTCCCCAATGTGGCCCTTAGGCCAAAAAATTTGCCCACCCCTGATCTAGACACTAAGCCAAATTCCCGGTTAGTGTGAATTGGCTTACCTCTACTGCAGTTTGTGGAACTATGTTAATTTACACTACCTGAGGCTCTGGTCCTTAAACTCTTTCTTCTTCTTTGAGGGCTTGTTTATGTCAATTCCAATCAGGTATGTGCGGGCACGCATGCATAACAGCAGAAAGATTTTTCCCCTAGCAGCATCCGTCAGGTAAGCCTGGGCGCCCCCTTGAGTCGCACCTTCATGGCGCTCAATATAGAGCCCTGCTGACCCGCCAGCCCCTCAGTTCCTTCTTACAGCCAGTGACGGTTAGCTGGAATGTCATTTAGCTCTTGTCTTGGCAAGCGCCATTCACAGTATCCGTTGTATATAGTTCTTGATACCGTTGGTGTTAGTTATTAGTACTTGTAGTGTAGATCTAGTTAGCGTTAAGTTTTCTTTGGGGTTCCCCTCCCCCCAACGCACTCGGTGCCATGGTATGCTGCAGTCCCTGGGCTTTAAAATTTGCGAGACCTGTGGCAAGCGCATGCCTAAAAGTGACCCGCACACTTTGTGCCTAAGGTGCCTAGGGGAGAGCCACCAGGAAGAGCGGTGCAAGATCTGTCGCGGGTTTTGCCCTAGGACTTTGAAAGACAGAGACCAACGTCTTAAAGTCCTTTTTATGGAGGCTGCGCTCCGGCCCCAGTCAGACTGTGGATTGGGGGATCCCGCATCTAGCATCACCTCCTCGGTGCGGAGCGCCCCAGCACCATCTACAGGGGAACCAGTGCCAAGAAAGAACTCACCTTGAGACTCTCGGCACTGTCATGGCTCCTCCCATGGACAGGCTGTGGGCAGGCACCAGTTGCAATCGCCGGTACCACAAAAGAAAAAGAGACCGGAGAGGGGCCGCTCTCTCCCGGCCAAGTACAAGGAGCCAGCCACTTGTTGGGCCACACCCCTCGGCTCCTTCACCCACTAGGGTCACGTCGACTCCTGCCCCGATGGTGGTGCAGTTGAGTCCAGATCCTCCCCACTCGCCGGCTGCAGGAGCCAACAGCTGCAGCTCCCATTGACTGCGGAGGCATTCGCGGCAGCACAGGACTTGTTGCGCGGTATGGCGCCGTTTTTCCCTCCAAGGAGGGATAAATGGCCAGCACCATCCCATCCCAAGGGGAAAGCAGACTATGACGTCGTGGTGCTCACCATCCCCAGAGCTCCCCACGGCACCACTCCTTTCCCCATTCCTCTTCAGGGACCCCCTCACGAGCAACTACTTATACAGGAGGTGCATTCACTCCTATCGCTAGGGGCAGTGGAAGAGGTTCCTCAGGAGCTAAAGGGCAAGGGCTTCTATTCCCGGTATTTACTAATACCAAAAGCCAAAGGTGGGCTCAGGCCCATCCTAGACCTGCAAGAGCTCAACAAGTTTATGAAGAAATTCAAGTTCCGCATGGTCTCTTTGGTCTCCATCATCTCTTCCCTGGAACCAGGGGACCGGAATTGCCACCCTCGACTTGAAGGATGCGTACTTTCATATAGCAATTACACCGTCCCACAGAAGATATCTCAGGGTTGTGGTGAGCGAAAACCACTACCAGTTCACAGTCCTCCTGTTCGGCCTTTCAGTGGCACCTCGAGTATCTACCAAGTGCATGGCAGTCATGGCCACGTTCCTGCACAGGGGACAGGTACAGGTGTTCCCACACATCGATGACTGGCTAATCAAGGGCCACTCCAGGGCTCAAGTGGAAGCACAAGTCAACTTCATAAGAATGATGTCAGACGAACTGGGCCTTCTGAACGTGGGGAAATCTACACTGTCCCTGGTTCAGTGAATAGAATTTATATGGGCAGTAGTGGATTAGACAAAGGCCAGGGTATTCCTTCCGGAAGCAAGGTTCTGGGCCCTGAGCGAAGTCTCAGCAGGCCAGAGACAACGCAGCCTTTGGTAGAGTAGTGCTCCAGACACTGGACATCAGAACTCTGACCCCTCCTCCGGAACTTGGGCTTGAGTCACCTGATCGGAATTCATAGAATCATAGAATCATAGAATATCAGAGTTGGAAGGGACCTCAAGAGGTCATCTAGTCCAACACCCTGCTCAAAGCAGGA